TTGGAAGCATTTAACTGTTATGTTAAGGAGACAACCAGTAGCCACCCTGAAGCTAACCAAGCCTCCCTAGAGAGCTGCCATGACCTTACCTTATTTTTAATGTGAAGATCTCTTCAAGAGGAGATTAAGCCTCATTACATAATCTGCAGTGTACCCACCTCTTCCTTTTGAATATTCATTTCCTAACCAAATAAAAGTTCCTCCTTCCCTTTGTTCGAGGACGCCATAACTTTGGAAATGATTCCTCATGGCCTCCTATTTGCTACACTTTACTTTGTGAGACAACTTGCACTGGTGTAGAGTCTTACTTAACTCACCAGGAGGCGAGCCCACCTGGTTTGGTAACACTACTACAGTTAATATGGAAAAATAATCAAGTGAAGACGATCAAGAAAATTGTGAAAAATAACGTAGGTGGGGAGAGAGGATAGATGGAGTGGCTGACGGAGGGTGGGCAGGCAGGGATGTCACTATGAGTTATGAAATGGTTTTATGAATGGAGTGGATATAAATTTCAGTCCACACACAGCAATCAGTGTGAAAGAAATACTTATTTCTGGTAACTCATTAATTTCAATTTTGACCTCCATTTTGCCAGGGTAGAAACTAAATTCAGTCATGTCAGGCCCTCATGGCGACAACTCCCATCCCCCATATGCTCTAAGAACTGTTGGGCTCATCTAATACCCAGGCATCAGGGTGGGCTTCTGATCCTTGGTAGCTCATCTATCCACCCTACATCCTGTTTGAAATTGTTTGCTGCAGCTTTTGTGATATAAACCCCTCCTGGGACACCTGCCCCACAAGAAAACGTCTGTGATGTTTATATTGCTATATGTCATGTGGAAGTGGATTCTTCAGGGGTGAACTCATAGAGGACCCTGCCAAACAGAGCAAGACGACGCAGGCCCTGGAAGATGAGAGGTGGGTGACATCTGGGTACACAGGTACTCAGTGGAGTTGGGGAGGAAGACGGGAATTCAATCCACCACAAACATCCTGAGTAGTGACAGACGCACACACAGGGTGCTGCAGGAGCACCGGGAGGGAGGACAGCTTCATGGAAGAGGTGACTTTTGAGCTGGATCTTGAAGGACATGTCTGATTCCACATGACAAAAATGGGCGGGAGGGCACAGAGAACTGCAGTGGAAACAGCATGAGCAAAGCTCAGGCTAGGGCAAAACCAGGTCTGGTTTCCTGAGCCCACCTTGACCAGCGGAGCGAGGAGGCAATTCCCAGGAACATGCTAGGACCAGGGAATGAGCCTTGAGAAGAACTGTAATATGGCTGTAGATTAACCACTCCACAGAGCCAGCTCTAGTGACCACTGGATAGAAGGAAAGAAATTATGGATGATGCATCTCTGGATATTTCCAGGCCTGAGTCAAAATTTAAAGTGTTCCCTTCAAACTTTGAAACCGGAGATCCAGGGGTTTCTAGATGTGTCTTCCTCTGCTCCCAAATTGGAGGGGTAACCAGACAGCCTGGATTTACTGCAGGTTCACTGACCAGCTAGCCCCTCTCCTGGAAGAAAAGGCCTTAGCGTGGAGGGAAGATGCCAGACAACACAGTGAAAACCAGGGTGCAGGCAGTCCTGCCTGTCAGATGTGAGTCCAAGGTGTACTTTTATCTGCATCCTAGCTATGGGAGGAATTCACAGGATCTTCAAGTCTCTTTATCCACATTAGTCTATTATTCATATTAGCAGCAGCAAACGCAACCGGAAAACCCAGATGATTCAAACTTCATCTCTATACATTTCACTCTCCACAGCAGTCCGCAGAGTCAGTTTTATTAAGGTTTCTTAGTCATAATTCCCATCCGGAATTTAACTGGTTTCCAACTTTCTTAATACATTCATATGAAATTCTACTGTAGTCACTCTAAGTTTCCATTTATTTTAGTCACGTGCCACTTCTTCGCTGGAATGCACTGCTTCCCCACTGCTTAGCTAAGTGTCTTGAAAATAGCAAAGGAACAAAAATTCGGTGTTCAAAAGTCCTATTATTTCTTTGTAACAGATCTGAGACTTTTTTTTCCTAAGGGAAATATACTCACTTCAGAGAAGCTGAGCTACTTCAAAGGTGCATATGTGAAATAAACATAGAAAATATCCCCTGCGCTATTTCTAACCATCATGAATTCTCATTGAACTACTATTTAGTGAACCCCTGCAGAGCAGGTGGCTGGGTAAGGAAGTAAAAACACACAGCCCATTTTCTAGAAAATGACTAATCAACTTGGGGAAATAAGACCTACTTACTTGAAAAGTGAAACCACACTACTAAACAGGACACAATGCTAGCCACTGTTCTCCTCTTCTCTAAAGCCACATCTTCCTAAAACATAGCAGTATTTACTGAGTGCCTTCTTCATGCCAGGCCTTGGGCTAGGAGCTTCTGGACAGCTTTGTGAATCCCCAAACAACCCCACGAAGTATGAAAGATTTTGGAAAGAATATTAGAGGAACTAGCCCTTAGAAGTCATTTCCCACCCTGGATTCTTAGTTTTCCTAAATCAAGAAAACAACCATATTCTTTCAAAGTTCAGTTTTTATGAGGCACTTGAGTATTCAATACACCATGATGACGTAAGAGTGTTCATTATTAAAGTAGGGGGGTGCAAAATGTTTTATCAAAGTAAGTTTTGACTGTCAATCGACAGATTCATTTTAGAGGGGCTTATTCACTATATTATCCTTCTAAGGAAAAATTCCTAACAGGAGACTAATTTCAAGATCACTTTTAGAAAATAAGCAGTCAGTAGACAGCGTCATCAAAGTGCTCCTGGACTAATCTGGTCTTTATACGCTCAGACTGACCTCTGCTGGACAGTCTATTAACCTGCCAACATTTTTTTTTTCTCTTGAGATAATACGGCTAGGGAAGCAGCTTTTTCCCCAAATTATATCTAGTGTTTAGATTTATGTAGTTCAATTCACAAATATTCATCAAGCCCTCCACACTACCTTACAGCAAAATCTTGTATTTGCCACCAGAGGCAAGCATCCATGGACAGAGTAGGACACTCATGAGGTTACATGAGCTACCCACTCTACTCGTTTTGATACTCATTTGATACTCATTTTGATATTCTCTATGCTCTTATGCAGCCCAGGCTCTCTAGTGTACAGCTTAGGGGTACATAGGAGTACCTGCCGACTGGGCCTGATTTCAGGGGCCTGTTGGGTAAAACCACAGCTCCCTGCAAGTATCTGCCAAGTTCACACCTCAAAGGTGACGTCCGCCACTTTGAGGAGGTCACTTATGTCCCTTACTAGCCAATGCAGACAAGTCTGATGTGTACAGTGCAAACAAGCCAAACTTGGAAATAAAGTCCTATGCTACAATTCATACAAAATTGCAGACAATAAACAAGAATGACCCTGAAAATAAGTGATACTTTTCTATTTCTAATATTCTTTTAAAATAATATGTTTCTGATAATAAAAATTACATAATTATTGGTGCCGGTCCGGTGGCGCAAGCAGTTAAGTGTGCGCACTCCACTTCAGAGGGCCCCGGCTCGCAGGTTCAGATCCCAGGCGCGCACTGACGCACCTCTTCTCAAGCCATGCTGTGGGGGCGTCCCATATGAAGTAGAGGAAGATGGGCATGGATGTTAGCTCAGGGCCTATGTTCCTCAAAGAAAAAAGGGGAGGATTGGCATCAGATGTCAGCTCAGGGCTAGTCCCCCTCACAAAAAAAAAATTACATAATTATTTTTATTTTAAAATTTTGTAATAGAAGAGAAAAAATAAAGAGGAAATAAAAATTACCTATAATCCTATCATCAAGCTATATTAAAATTTTGGTTTATTTGGGGCCCATCTTTTTTCTCTGAGTATGTATGTGTGCACGAGTATACGCATATATCCTGACCTGGATCACCCATTTTGTAGCTTGCCTTTTTTACATAATATTATACTGTGATTATTTCTCCATTAATAAATATTCTTTAACACAACTTTATTTTATGATGTCGACAGATCATAATGTATGTAACCAATGTCTTATTATTAAATACTGGAGTTGTTCCTAAATAAAACTATGCTGAATGGTCTCATATATAAATATTATAGATCAAATATTTTATTATTTCTTTAGGATACATTCTGCAAACAGCCTCACTAGGTCAAAAGTTGTGGGATATGAACATTTTTAAGATTCCAAATAGAAGCACTGTTAGAATTACTCTACAGAAACATGCACCAATTTCAACTTGCACCACTGCAGAGCAGGGCTCATTTCACTTCGCCCTCATTCGTGCTGCAAATTATAATTTAGAAAGTGCTTTGCCAAGTGGATAGGCAAAAAAAAAAGGTTTTTCAGCCTAACTTACATATTTATATTTGTTCATACTCATAATTTTATTGACCACTTATATTTTTTCTGTTAATTATGCATTCATGCCCTTTACCCATTTTTCTATTAGTGCATTAATATTTTTCTTATTTATACAAGTTCTTTATATATTAAGGCTGTTGACTCTGTTGCTCTCAATGGGGTAGACATAAGCTAAGGTTGCTAATCCAAACATACCCCGAAATTATTAGTCTGGGTGTGGTGTGACCTCTCCTTTGGCTCAGTGAGTTCTTTCCAGAAAAACAAAGCAAAACAAAAACCCAACTCATAAAGTATAGAACAAGCTCCATTAAATACTGGGGAGACTAAGGTACAAAGTGGTCAACACATAAATGATGAAGAAGAAAGAGCCCATGTACTCCAGCTTCCTGAACATGCCTCTACATTAGACAATTCTTGGAGCTTTTCTCTTCAGAAGATGTTTTTAAAAGATATGTGACCTTAAGAATGGATTTACGTAAAAGAAATACGTAATGTGTAATGTAATGTGTAATGATATGTAACTCAGCGGTTAGGCAGTTACAATGCTATTATTCAATAAAAATTTTCCTCTTCTTTCATCTGTAAATGGTTATTTCTGTGGTAGAATACTGATTACTTTTCTGTTTTTAATCAATTACTTTACTATAAAATGTCATTTAGAAATGTTTTTTATTTTTCTTTGCACAACAACTTTAACATTATAGTAATTTTGCTGTGGTAAATAAAGTTCCATCTTACAGGAAAGAGAAAACTCCTCAAGACCACTCATTGGCGTCTTTATTTAAAGATTAGAGCGGGTCAGCCAGTGAAAATCCTAGAAGTAGAAAAGACAACAAACATTCAGTCAAAAGAAATAAGTGTCTCAAACTATATTCTCACTGTTTTGCTTCCTCTAAAATCTAGAAGTCCCATTATAACCACAATTACCACAATGGTGGTAAATGAGGTGTGTCTTTGGTCTACTGCTTTTCCCAAAAAGAAGCTAAAAATCCATAGTGAACCTTTCTGTCTTGTCTTCAAAACAATCTAAAATGACCTTCTGGGCCCTCCTCCGTTAACAGAGTCCAAAAGAACCACAAGTGCACTCAAAAGAAGAAAAGAGATGAAAGCGGCCCAGAGGGCCAGCTCCCAGGTCTCAGGACCTGGGGAGGAAGAGCAGCGCAAAGAAGCCTTTTCCAGGACTAATGCCATCCTACACATGTGGCCTGGACCTAAGCCAACGCAGAGATCAGGTCCTCCGTCTATTACAGCAGGAAGCAGCCAGCCTTCACTCAGCATCAATGACAAGTGGCAGATGGACACACAGACAATCAATGAAAACCAACAGCTTAGAAACTATAATATGTGCAGAATTCTACTGGAATGAGGATAAATAATGTTGACGTGGTAGATGAAAGAAAGAGAAGGATAATCCTCCTGGAATTATAAAAGAGGAGATAAGAAATTGTATATCTCCAGCAATACCTCCAAAAATTCATAGAGACTTTGAGAGCAGATCATTAGAAGCAGATCATTGGAGAGGTGAATGAACTAGCAGAGAGGGGACAATTCATTAGGGCTCTTTTGTGACTAACACAGGTCTCAAGATTGCCTATTTTGTGTGTGTGTTCTAAATATCTGTTTATCAAGCCTCTCACAGTGGCTTTAGTTTCCCCCGTTCTCTGATGCCAGGAGGAGGGCATCCTGGGTTGCAAACTAACATTCCAGTCACTAGAAAGTATATGCTCAATTATAAATAAAATGACATGAGATTTAAAAACCTGTCTATTGGGTGTCTGGTTAGCAGAAATCATTTCAACAAACAGATTTTTAAAAAAGGAAAGGCAATCAATAACCTCACAGAAGGACAGAGTAGATTCTGAAAGTTGTTAATCCTACCTTAAAACAGTCTGCCTGCTTGCTCCACATAACCACCTGCTACTGCCACCTAGCACATCACCTTTCTGGCCTAGTCTCTCTGTGCTCATCTTCCTCTTCATCATACTTCTTCTTGAGTATCTCTCCTCTCTGCTATGAGGTAAATGCAAATCTCTCTCTCTCTTTTTTAATTGAAGTATAACTCGCATATAACATTATATTAGTTTCAGGTATACAACATAACGATTCAATATTTGTTTACATTGTGAAATGATCACAACACGTCTAGTTAACATCCATCATGACACATACCTACAAAAATTTTTCTTCTTGTGATGAGAACTTTTAAGATCTACTCTCTTAGCAACTTTCAAATATGCAATACAGTATTAACTATACTCATCATGCTGATTTATTTTATGACTAGAAGTTGGTACTTTTTGACGCCCTTCACCCATTTCCCCCCACTCCTCGCACCCCTCCCCTCTAGCAACCACCAATCTGTTCTATGTATCTATGAGCCTGTTTTTTTGTTTGCTTGTTTGTTTTTAGATTCCATGTAAGTAAGATCACATGGTATGCGTCTTTCTATGTCTGCCTTATTTCACTTAGCATAATGCCCTCAAGGTCCCTCCACGTTGTCACAAATGGCAAAATTTCCTTCTTTTTATGGCTGAATAATATTCCATTGTGTATGTATACCAGATTTTCTTTATCCATTCATCCACTGATGGACACTTAGGTTGCTTACATATCTTGGCTATTGTAAATAATGCTGCAATGAACATGGGGGTGCATATATCCCTTCGAGTTAGTGTTTTCGTTTTCTTCAGATAGATACTCAGAAGTGGAATTGCTGGATCATATGGTAGTTTTAGACTTAATTTTTTTGTGGAATCTTTATACTGTTTTCCACAGCAGCTGCACCAATTTACGTTCCCACTAACAGGGCACAGGAGTTCCATTTTCTCCACATCCTCGCCAACACTTATTTCTTGTCTTTTTGATAACAGCCATTCTAACAGGTATGAGGTGGTATCTCATTGTGCTTTTAATTTGCATTTCCTTGATGATTACTGATGCTGAGCATCTTTTCATGTACTTGTTGGCCTTCTGTATATCTTCTTTGGAAAAATGTCTATTCAGATCTTCTGCCCATTTTTAAATCCAATTTTTTTTTGCTATTGAGTTGTATGAGTTCTTTATATATTTTGGATATTAACCCCTTATCAGACACATGATTTGCAAATATTTTCTCCCATTCAGTAGGCTGCCTTTTCATTTTGCTGATCGTCTCCTTTGCTGTGCAGAAGTTTTTTAGTTTGATGTAGTTCTTTTGTTTGTTTTTGCTTTTGTTGCCTTTGCTTTTGGTGTCAGATTCAAAAAATTATCTCCAAGACCAACATCAAGGAGCTTACCACCTATGTTTCCTTTGATGAGTTTTATGGTTTCAGGTCTTACTTTCAAGTCTTTAATCTATTTTGAGTTAGTTTTTGCATATGGTGTAAGATAGTCGTCCAGTTTCATTCTTTTGCATGTGCCCATCCAGTTTTCCCAACACCATTTATTGAAGAATTGTCCTTTCCCCACTGTATGTTCTTGGCTCCTTTGTTGTAAATTAATTGACCATATATGCACGGGTTTATTTCTAGGCTCTCTATTCTGTTCCATTGATCTACGTGTCTGTTTTTATGTCAATACCATACTGTTTTGATTACTATAGCTTTGTAATGTAATTTGAAATCAGGGAGTGTGATGCCTCCAGTTTTGTTGTTCTTTCTCAAGATTGCTTTGGCTATTCGGGGTCTTTTGTGGTTCCATACCAATTTCAGGATTGTTTGTTCTATTTCTACGAAAAACGTCATTGGAATTTTGATAGGGATTGCATTGAATCTGTAGATTGCTTTGAGTAGTATGAATATTTTAACAATATTAATTCTTCCAATCCAAGAGCACAGAATATATTTCCATTTATCTGTCTTCTTTAATTTCTTTTAGCAATGTCTTATAGTTTTCAGTGTACAGATTTTTCATCTCCTTAATTTAATTTATTCCTAGGTATTTTATTCTTTTTGATGCAATTGTAAATGGGATTGTTTTCTTAATTTCTCTTTCTGATAGTTCATTATTAATGTATAGAAACACAACAGATTTTTGCATATTGATTCTGTATGCTATAACTCTACTGAATTCATTAATAGTTCTAACAGCTTTTTGGTGGATTCTTTGGGGTTTTCTATAAATAATATCATGTCATCTGCAAACAGAGACAATTTTACTTCGTCTTTTCCAATTTGGATGCTTTTTATTTCTTTTTCTTGCCTGATTGCTCTGGCTAGGACTTCCAGTACTAGATTGAATAGGAGTGGTGAGATTGGGCATCCTTGTCTTGTTCCTGATCTTAGAGGAAAAACTTTCAGATTTTCAGTGTTGAGTATGATGTTAGCTGTGGGCTTGTCATATATGGCCTTGATTATGTTGAGGTACGTTCCCTCTATACCCATTTTGTTGAGAGTTTTTATCATAAATGTACATCAAATTTTGTCAAATGCTTTTTCTGCATCTATTGAGATGATATCATATGATTTTTATCCTTCATTTTGTTAATGTGTTGTAGCACATTGATTGATTTGTGGACGTTGAGCCATCCTTGCATTCTCAGGATAAACCCCACTTGATCATGGTGTATGATCCTTTTAACGTATTGTTGAATTCAGTTTGCTAATATATTGCTGAGGATTTTTGTATCTGTGTTCATCAGGGATATTGTCCTGTCAATTTTCTTTTCTTGTGGTGTTCTTGTCTGGTTTTGGTTATCAGGGTGATGCTGGTCTTGTAAGACGAGCTTGGAAGCATTCCTTCCTCTTCTATTTTTTGGAATAGTTTGAGAAGGATAGGTATTAAATCTTCTTTGAATGTTTGGTGGAATTCACCAGTGAAGCCATCTGGTCCTGGACTTCTTTTTATTGGGAGGTTTTTGACTACTGATTCAATCTTCTTACTAGTAATCAGTCTGTTCAGAGCTTCTATTTCTTCATGATTCAGTCTTGGTAGGTCATATGTTTCTAGGAATTTATCCATTTCTTCTAGGTTGTCAAATTTGTTGGCTTAAAATTGCTCACAATAGTTGCGTATGATCCTTTTTATTTCTGTAGTATCAGTTGTAACGTCTCCTCTTTCATTTTTTATTTTATTTATTTGAGTCCTCTTTTTTTCTTCTTGGTGAGTTTAGCCAAAGATTTGTCAATTTTATCTTTTCAAAGAACCAGCTCTTAGTTTTGTTGATCTTTTCTATTATGTTTTCTATTATTCATTTATTTCCACTCTAGTCTTTGTTATTTCCTTCCTTCTACTAAGTTCGGGCTTTGTTTGTTCTTCTTTTTCTAGTTCCTTGAGGTGTAAAGTTAGGTTGTTTGAGATTTTTCTTGTTTCTTGAAGTAGGCATTCATTGCTACGAACTTCCTTCTTAGAATAGCTTTTGCTGCGCCCATAAGTTTTGGTATGTTGTATTTCCATTTTCATTTGTCTCAAGGCATGTTTTGATTTCTCTGACTCATTGTTGTTCAATAGCACCTTGTTTAATCTCTACATATTTGTGAATTTTCCAGTTTTCTTCTTATAATTGATTTGTAGTTTCATACCATTATGGTCAGAAAAGAAACTTGGTATGATTTCAATCTTTTTAAATTTATGAAGAGTTGTTTTGTGGCCTAACATGTGATCTATCCTGGAGCATGTTTCATGTGCATTTGAGAAGAATGTGTATTCTGTTGCTTTTGGATGGAATGTTCTGTATATATCTGTTAAGTCCATCTGGTCTAATGTGTTGTTTACAGCCAATGTTTCCTTATTCATTTTCTGTCTGGACGATCTATCCATTGATGAAAGTGGGGTATTAAAGTCTCCTACTATTATTGTATTGCTATCTATTTCTCCCTTTAGGTCTGTTAATATTTGCTTTATATACAGTTGGCCCTCTGTATCTACGTGTTCCGCATCTGTGGATTCAACCAACCATGGATCATGTACTATGTTTATGATCTGCATTTGGTTCAATCCGTGGATGTGGATACCAAGGGACGATTGTATTTAGGTGCTCCTATGTTGGGTGCACAAATATGTACAAATGTAAATACAATTAAAATTGCTGGATTGACCCCTTTATCATTATGTAATACCCTTCTTTGTTTCTTATTACAGTCTTTGTTTTAATGTCTATTTTGTCTGATGTAAGCATAGCTACCCCAGCTTTCTTTCGGTTTCCATCTCCATAGAATATCTTTTTCCACCCCTTCACTTTCAGTCTGTGTGTCCTTATATCTGAAGTGAGTCTCTGGTAGGCAGCATATAGATATGTCTTGTTTTTTTGCTTTTTTTTTTTTTTTTTGGTGAGGAAGATTAGCTCTGAGCTAACATCTATTGCCAATCCTCCTCTTTCACTGAGGAAGACTGGCCCTGGGCTAACATCTGTGCCCATCTTCCTCTACTTTATTCGTGGAACGCCTGCCACAGCATAGCTTGATAAGACGTGTGTAGGTCCACGCCTGGGATCCTAACCTGCAAACCCTGGGCCACTGAAGTGGAGTGTGCGAACTTAACCACTAAACCACCTGGCCAGCCCCTGTGTCTTGTTTTTTTATTCAGCCACTCTAGGTCTTTTGATCGGAGAATTTAGTCTATTCACATTTAAACTAATTATTGATAAGTATGTGCTTATTGCCATTTTTGTTCATTTTCTGGCTGTTTTGTAGTTCCTTTCTGTTCCTTCTGCCAAAGTCTCTGATATCTGTTTTTACAGAAACAGAATTTCAGTAGAATTCTATATATTTTATAGTTTCCAAGTTAATTTACATTTCATTGATTGTCCAGGTGTCTATTTACCCATTTGTCCACTGCCTTGTTCAAAAAAGAAAAAGATCTCACAGCAGATCTATGTATGAAGACCCAAGACAGAAACTACTTGAAAAAATTATCTGCTCTGAAAACAGCAGCTGATACGCAAGGTGTAAGAATGGAGGACAGGTATATAAGAGAGGGCAAGTGGCAGGACCAGGATCAGAGTACAAACTTAGGTATGAAAAGCAACTTAATCTGGGATGGGAGAGGATCATGCTACACATCTTGTAATTTATTTTAATGCTGTAATCTATACTGTAGTTTTGCTTTAGACGCCAAAGTAACAAATTTTGCATATAACTGCACAAATCATCCTACTATAGTCTCATCCCCTACTGTGCTTTCTCCACTCTCTGTCTTCTAGCAACTCTGGCCTTTCAGTTCCTCAGACTTGTCATGCTCCCTCCTGCAACAGAGCTTTTGCACATCTCTTCCCTCACCTCTTTGCTGAGTTTGTCTCTACTTATCCTTTGGATCTCAGCATCACTTCCTCTGAGAAGCCTTCCCTGTGACCCCAATATAAATCAGATTCCTTTGTTGTATGCTCATTCAGAACCGTGTTCCCTTCCTTCAGCGCAATGCTTCACTCTGTCATAATGCATTCAGTTGTGAGGTGACTGGACTGTCCCTCTCCCATACAGTACTATAAGCTCCATGAGGTGAGGGCTGAGCCTGGTTTTGCTCACCATGCTATTCTTACTACCTGACACAGCACACCTAACACATATCTCAACAAACAGTCACTGAACAAACAAATGAAAGTGCCAAACTCGGAAATGCTTTAGAAACGACTCAGTGAATAACAGGGTGTTCTATTTGGTAGATGCTTTTGGGGGTGAGAGAGGAGAGGCATTTCTGCTTTCTGCTTGGCTATCGCATTTACCTGGGGCTTCCGCGTGGCCTGCGGCTCAATCATGATGTTGATAAGAGAAGGTTTAGTTGTGTCTGCCAACCCCTGCCTCAGGGATTTTTGGAGTTCTTCTGGTGTTTGTACAAAATACCCTTTGCCTCCAAATGCAGTCATGACCTGCTCATAATGTGAGTTTGGCAGAAGAGAGTGTGCAGGGGCCCTGAAAAAGAAGGTCACAAATCAATAGAAAAAAAAGTCATTCTCTGAAATAATTTGTGGAAAATTTTAGGCTGAACTGAACGGCATACTTTTATGTCCAACACTTAGACTGACATGCAAGTACACTAAACTTTCCATATATTTTTTATTGTCTATACAAGAATATCCAGTAGAACCTTTTGTGATGATGGAAATATTTTATATCTGTGCCATCCAGTATAGTAGCCACTAGTAATCTGTTACTGTGAGCACTTAAAATGTGACTAGTTAAAATGAGATGAATTTTTAATTTAATATAAATAGCCACATGTGGCTAGTGATGGCTATACTGGACAGTGCAGGCTACACCATCAACTATTATGAATCCAAAAGAAAAAGAGGAAAAAAGAAATGGTTACCTCAAAAAAAAAAAAACAACAAAATAACAAATGAAGTCACTGAGGCATAAGCAAACACACCACACCCTGCTCCAGTCACAACTTCACATCTCTCTCATACCCCATCGCCAGCTACTACGCTGGCTCAGTTTGGCTCTGCAACTAGATGATCAAGATTTAGCTAAGTGGTAAAAAGGAAGGAAGACCTCTGGATCATAAAAATATGTAAACATCTACATATCTACATGATGTAGTAGGAATAGTAGGACCGGGAGCATTTTGCAATAAGCCCTTCCATTAACAAGGCTTAGACTCAAACTCATTCTTCTGAGTCTTCAGTGGCTCCCTGAGTATAAACTATTTATTGAAGCACCCAATCCTGGATGGTTGTGCAAAGAGAAACCATGCAGACAGGGTTCCTGCCCTTTAGAGGGGCTGCCAATATAAACATCAATACTCACACCACGAGCACATTCCAATACAGCAGACTTTTTAAAAAAAGATTAAAATAGATGAGAAAGCAAATATACATCGTTCTGGGTTACTTACACTGCAGTAGCATCTCCAAATTTTAACATTTCCTTCCAAGTATTTATATCAAAACCTTGGTAAATTCCATTATTATTCACCACCAAAAGTACAATTGGCAAGTTGTACCTAAAATCACGAGCAAAATATAAAGAAAATCTAAATTTAAAGTAATTTCTTTTCTTTGGGCTGAAATTTTAACTTAAAAATGGATAGTCTTCCATAAGCTTTTTTGTAATATTAGGGTAAGACTAAAAGTTAAGCATATGTTATCCTAATAAGAATATCAAATCATTAACAGAAATATCACGGAGTAATAGAAAGAACGCCAGATTAGGGGGTGGCAGACCCGGTTCTACCACCATGCAGCTATGGACCTCAGGCAAATCACCTGAGCTTTTCTAAACTTTGGTTTTCATAGATCCAGGTGTTAATGATGTCACCTTCCATACTTAACACCCTCTAAAGCATCACTTCTAGGTGGTGCCCACTAGTACTGTCTGAAAAGTATCTATTTATTGAACTCCTCATAGACAACCAGCACTTGCAAGATGCTGTGAGAGGCACACAAGTGACTAGCATATATTCTCTCCTCTCAAACCACTTCACCCAGAATTAGAAAAACATTACACGGTGTAATGACGAGAGAAAAAGAGAGTATTTAACAATGTGCTAAACAGTATGGTAAAGACAAAAAAAAGGCAGATTAAACCGCACTACTGATTGACAAAAGAACCTGGGCTTTATTTTCTACAAACATAATTTCTGAGACCAGGTGTAAAAACAAATCTAAACTGCAGACTGTTAAGTAACAGGATGGTGGTAACTACCTGCTCTCCATGCTCAAAGGGGATCATTACCCTCTAGAAGGCCGACTTCCCCATAAATCATCTTTTTGGTGTATACTAGTTGGTTGTCCATACACAGACACTCCAACAGGCACATACTTTCCCTCTAATCTTGAAAGTTTTATATGCCAAAGCTTTGAAAGCCCCAAAACATGATTTTAAAAAGTCCTAATAAGAGCCCTGGCTAAGAATAGAATGGTTTTACGAGAGTTTAAATAATTGGGGAGAAAAACTCCCCATACTTCTACAGTAGGAGCTATAACCCATGCATTTCTCCATGAATGCTCATAATTATAAACACAATCTGAAAAGCTGACATTCACCTCGAGCTTTACCCAGATTATCTCATTTGTTCCTCACAACCGTCCTCTGAGGTAGGAGCTATTACTATTCCTATCCCTATTTTAGAGGAGACTGAAGTTTGGTTAAGTGACTTAACCCAAGTCACTTGGCTCTGACGTGGTCGAGCAAGTATTTAAACCCAGGCCATCTGACCCAGAGGCTGTGTTCCTACCCACCAAGCTCTGCTGTCTCCCTACAGAAAACAAGCTTTTCTCAGACCAGAACTTTTTTTCAGTGACCTCAAAACCACTCCCTACAGTTTTGCAAGTTTTTGGCATGCGGTAAAGAGGTCATGAACATGCTACCCTGGATGAGAAAGACCTTGGGATTATTTATTTAGTATTCTCAGGATGCGGCACACCACTACGCACAGGGCCCTTGGCACATGGTGAATGCCTGGTAAGTATTAACAAATACTTAGGCTAGTGGGTCTTGTGTATAATTTTTCACATTTTGGAGAAAGAAATGCTCTGATTCAGAATGCTGTTTTACCTGCAGATGGTTTCCACTTCCATGCCAGAAAACCCAAATGCGCTGTCTCCTGCCACACAGATGACCCGCTGTCCTGGGTTTCTATCTTTAGCCACTATAGCAGCTGCAATGGCAAATCCCAAACCAACGCCCATTGTTCCAAAAGTACCAGCATCAAGCCTGTTGGGGAGCAATTAGAATGAAACCCTCTGAAGCACGTTATAAATCTAGTTATATTCACATGGTTCACTGAAAAATAAAGAACCATAAAAACATTCTCTTCCTTTAATACGAAGTTTTTAGACTGTGAGGAACTAATTTGTCAAGGATAAACAGAATGAGAGAAAAAAGTCACTCGTGATTGCTTGGAAGACTGTGAATATATCCTTAGAACAATGACAATATAAATTATCACATGATATCGAGGACATATCAAGCATTAAAACTCTACAAAACCTCACCTAAGAATACCTTTATATGAAATATGTCCTTAAACACTGAACATGTATAATTCTCAAACGTTTTATTAGTCTGCATTATTGTAGTTTCAAATTTAACACAATATAATTCAATATAATTTCTTTTTTAGGAGCCTTACCTGTGACGAGGGAGGTAGTTCTGAAGCACAGTGCGTCCAATATCCATAGTATTTGCTCCTTCACTTACCACAAAACAGTCTCTGGGTAGTTGTTCTTGAACATGGTAGAATACTGTATAATAATTCATAGGCAGGGATTTCTTGGAAGCTAATTTCTAAAATATTAGAAGGAAATATAATCAAATTAGATTGAGATACAATGAAAATAAACAGTCCCAAAAAGCTACTACCAAACTTATTTGCAAATAGGCAACAACTACAAACTACGAGGTTCCCAAACGGCCACCAAATGGCCACTCTGAGAAGCTAATTGATCTGTGAACAGTCCTAGAGGACATGCTAAGAAATATAGGTTCTGCAGTCCCAGTTTGGGATACAATCAAATAAGCCAGGGAACGTCCCTCCTCCTGGAGATCCACAATGCACATTAGCATATTAAAGACCAAGAATTCCTATAGTAAAGATAGCTGGAAACACTAGATTAAACAAAACTAAACAGTCTTATTTGAGCACTCTGAGGAAAACACTGCCTTAGAAAAAGTGAAATTTTTATACTAGAATATTTTCATCTGAAACATGGCCCTAAGCTTAAAGTAAGTCAGAATTTTAGAAAATATGAAAATCTGGTTCTTCCCCACATGCACTGGAGGATAAAGCAGATATGCTTCATTCACTATTCTAAAGAATCTCTGAATGGAGGAAAAAACAGCAAGGTAAATGCCTTTGTCTGGCCATTTGCTTTTCAGAGCTGAGAGAAAGCTACGTGGGGCTTTAGCAGCAACAGTCCCATTTGGTCCCAGCACTGCCTCTTCACTTGTGCTACTTTAGTCCATTGGAGATTATACCCAAGATAGACGAGGGACACTCCTATACTCCCATACCAGAGAAGAGAGGCAAGTTCCTTCCATCTTATACTAAGGTGATTCCTAGGGAAAAGAAGGGATTAATCATGACACCATTCAGGAAATAGAGTTGAGACTGGCTCTTGATAGGAGAAAGAGTCACTGATTAAAATTCCAATTAAAGATAGAATCATGTGTAATCAATTCTGCTTGTTTCGAAACTGCAAATTTATTCCAAGACAACTAATATATTAGGGAACAATATGAGCACAACTCAAACTTCATATTTGCTTATGCGTGATTCCATCAGTGAGAAATACCACATGAACACAGAAAACTGCACCCAGCTGAACCAAGATGCATAGGAATACACAAAACTGAAAAAAATCAGGAACAATCTTTCTCACAATCAAAGAGAAAACACTATTTATACACGAAGATTTTTAAACAGAAATCGCCAAATCCTGCAGAAGTGGCTCATTTTAGTGCTCATAGTGGATGGTTTGGTGGTTTCACATATTACTACAATTTCCAAAGCCTTCAGTTATCAAGCAAAACCATGAGTGCAAACAAGGAAGTTGCAGAAGAATTTCCAGCAGTGATACAAAAGTTAATTGAAAAAGAAGGCTATAAATGTTCTAACCAATAAATAAATAAATAAATAAATGTGAGGTGATGGACATGTTAATTAACTAGATGGGGGGAATCTTTTCACAATTTATACGTATATCAAATCACCATGATGTACCTTTAAATATCTTACAATTTTATACGTCTATTATACCTCAATAAAGCTGAAATTAAAAAAAAGAAAAAGAAGGCTACACAGTAGGTCACATTTTCAATTTTGATGAAACACCTATCTATTATAAATACATGCCTTGAAGGACTTACATCTCAAAGGTAGAAAAACATGCCCCAGGATTTAAGGTTCCAAAAGATCTGTGTGTGACTTGGTGCCAAGGTCAAACCGAGGACACACATTCACACTCATCCACACAGGCTCTTACAACTTTCTGTCCAATGTCAGATCCTCCTTCCACCACTTTACAGTAATTCACAAGCTATAACCCTTCCGATGCCCACTTCCACAAGAAGCTTCAGGTCTTTTTCAAGGTAAAGTGCCATATTTATTGTTATATATATTTCTTAACCATTTAACATGTATAAAACTTGGCCACCAGTTTTATTAGGTTCCTATCTTAATGTTTCACAAAGTGTTTGAGAGTTGTGCCCCTAAACCCTTTTTCCCATGAGCCCTGTGGTTTTTCCTGCGTGACTTCGCATGGCAGGGAGATTTTTAGGAACGCCTACGTCATGACAGAACTGAATGAACCATGAACTGAAGCATTCTTGCGTTTCAGTGGGTCCCGTGTTACCTTGGATACAGCTTCATTGCTCTTCATTTTTTCTCTCAGAGCTTTCCACCACTTGCTCTCTGGAGGAAACTGCCATGGTGTTTTATCAAATTGTTCTAAAAGCTAAAAGAACACAAACTTTTTCTTTCTTTTTTGAAAATAAACTTAAATCATATTAATGCAAAAATCTCTTCTTAAAGAAGACAACACTGCTCTACTATCCTGCCCTTCACATCACTCATACGCTTTGTTTTTTCCCCTAGGCAGCAAACAACTGATAGACAATAAATAGGTAAGATGGAAAGCTTTTATTTGGGTCAGTGTGGACTTCTGCCAGATGCCGGGCTTCCCACAGGACACAGTGGAAGGGCTACCTCTTCCACACCACACAGGCAGGGGCTTTTAAGCCCTCCTCAGTCTTTGACACAAGAAACAAAATCACCCCTTCCATAGCACCCTTGCAGGAAGGCCAAGAGCCCCGAATACCTAGGATTCCCATGATACAGACCAAATGCTCTAGAGGGCTTTAATATGTGATTGGGGACTGCATCCTAATATTGTACAATCATGATAAAAATACCAATTTGTATCTAAAATCAAGTGATAAATGTGACTATATTTTATCTTCTGTCACAATGAGATGTATAAATTATGTACAAATAATAAGAATCTGGACAAGTCACTGATTACAATTTGAAGAGTTAAAAATCTCTTTATTGCCTAAAGAAATACTAAGTTAGATTCTTCCAGTACATAAAGCCATTTCTTGGCTGTAAGTTCAGTTCCTCTGGAAGCTGTATTATAATTTTTCAGATAGCTGAATCCTACTTAGTAAATCACTATTTGCCTACTGAATGCCTTTATTTATTTAATTTTTTTGTGAGGAAGATTGGCCCTGAGCTAACATCTGCCAATCCTCCTCTTTTTGCTGAGGAAGACTGGCCCTGGGCTAACATCCGTGCCCATCTTCCTCTACTTTATATGGGACACTGCCACAGGATGGTCCGACAAGCGGTGTGTTGGTGCGCACCCGGGATCTGAACCTGCGAACCCTGGGCCACCGCAGTGGAGCGCGCGCACTTAACTGCTTGAGCCACGGGGCCGGCCCCACCCCCTGAATGCCTTTAAATTTTAAATCATCTTCCAAAAATGCTTGCTTAACTTACATAAAAATGATACAAGGAGTTGGAGTTATGCAAGGAGTTGTATACACAAGGAGTTATATACAAGGAGTTGGATTTACCAAGTTCCAAACTTATGTTTAAATAGCTTTCCATAATAAATTTTGTTTAAAATAGATATTAATAGACCTGTCACCAAGTGAATCAAGATTGTAACATTTTCAAGAATTGACTATTCTCTAAAGACCAAGCCACATAAACTAAAACCCAGGCAAAAGCTCTTACCTGTTTAGTGACAGCATTTATGTCTCCTAGCAAAGTCACAGCAGGCCTTACATTATTCCCCAATTCTTCTGCACAGATATCAACCTAAAAAAGAGATAAGGCTGAAGAACAAACCATGTTTACTCTTAAAATCTTTAAGAAGTCAATTAAGGCTGAATAAATGAACTGTGTATACATGACATATGATAAAGAAATTCTGATATTGAAGAAATTTCTCAATAAAAGTAAAAATCCATACAACTTTATGAGTGTCATAGCTAGTATAGAAACCTCATCATCTTCTCTCATTTTAAAATCTACTCTGTAGAATTTTGGTATTTTTCCATTATACCCACAGGCATGCATTTGACTTGATCAATTATAGTTTTGAATCTAATCAATAATAAAGTTCCACTTAATTACACTAGAATTCCTATTTAGAGCAGGAGCTCTCAAATTTGAACTATCAGAATCACCTGGTAGGCTTGTTAAACTGTAGACTGCAAAAGTCTATCTCAGAATTTCTGATCTCAATGGGTCTGGGGTGGCCCAAAAATGTGCATTTCTAACATGTTTCCCACGTGGTGCGGATGCTGCTCACCCAAGGATCTAGAAGTAGAGAACCACTCCTAGGACATGGCATGATTAAGTCCCACTTACTCAGAAGCTCCATTTCTGAATGGCCATGGGCAAGTGAAAATAGCTTGTGTAAGGAAGAGAAATTGACCCACCCCAAAGGGGATGCACTATATTCTGTAATCAACAGGGACAATCAAGAGTGGCAGCATCTTCCAGGTACAACCCAGGTCTTGCTTGTTTGTGGTTTTAGTTCTCAATGGCCCCAGGAGGAAAGGGACCATTAGAAGTTGACTTCTTAAGAAGTAAAAGGTAAATACGGAGAAGATAGCAATTGCAGCTGGATCATCAAATACCTAAAGACCTAAATACACAATCTGTGTAGGGTGAACAGGTTTGCTTGCCACTATGTAGGCAGTACTTGCCACACCAGTAAGAAAACTGGCTTATAAAGAGGGTCACAATGATATAAGAGTCATCAAAGGGAGATCAGAGTATATTCCAAACACTCTGTTTAATGACATAGGTAAAAGCAGCATTGTTTAGAGATTTCCAACCAAAAGGTGTCTGAAAGTTTTGGCATCTAAAAGAACAACTCAGTACCTAACAATACTGAATGCTTTGTTCTAATTTACCATCCTACTTAAAACTCTTTTGTCTACCTTTAAATATACTTGAACTATGAAGAAGAGGCAAATTATGCTTTTCAAACTATTTGAAACTTGATTTTGAAAGGTTTTCTGGTTAGAAATAAAGTGGTACATTATGTTTCACAGGATTGAAAAGGCAGCTTCCTTTGGTACCTATAATTACGTTAGACAATTTATAAAATTCTACTTTTGTAAAAAGAGAAATGGTTCTTTACAAAAGCCAAGAAGAAAGCAGAGCTGATAATGGCCGAGAGGGAGAACAGTAAACTATAGATAGCTCTGATTTTAAATCTCTCCTCTCTGCGTACCTGGATAAACTTCACATCTGGCTGATACCTTGGAGGCAGTCCAAAATGCAAAATCCAATTTAATCTGGCACCAAATAACACAATTACATCAGCAAACTGCAAGGCCCTATTAAAAAGAAAAATCTGATATAACACAAAAAGTATATCTATATTTCCTATTTGAATTATTCTAAAATTAATTTCTAAAGTATTTAGAAAAGTCTAAATAATTTAGAGCTTCTATTAGTCTTCAGAATCAGCTTCTGATTCATACACTGTATTGGTCCTGTGGCACCCAATTTAACAAAGAGATAAAAACTGCAGTTGGAAGGATGGATTTTCTTATTGATGCTCTAAAACCCTTGAAATCGTTGACTCATTTATAGCCCTTTGCAATCTTTTTTTACACTATTAATGTCATTAATATCACCTTCTTAAAATTTGGTTAGAACAAAGATAAACTTCAGCTCAACGCAAGGTAAACTATATTAAAACAAAACAACTTAGTAGTGTAAGAATTAATTTGGCTACTATACAATGTATAGTAACATGAATAAAAAGTAAAGGTGTAATCTATACTTTTACAGATTAAGGTATAATCTATTAAGAAAGCATTAAGTGAGCAAAGATTACATTTTAAAAACCATCAAAATTAATTTTAGTGCATGCATGAGAATATGAAAAACATGAAATGCATAATGGTGGTGAACTGTGGAGAGAGAGGGAGGGAATGAGATGAGGAAAGATATGCAGGAGACTACAAATGTATCTGTAATTTTTTATTTCTTAAAAAAATAAAGAACCCTAAAGCAATGTATTACTTAATATTACATTATATTTGATAAAATTGAGTGGTAGTTACATGTGTTCATTAAATTATTCTCTCTTCTTGTTTGTATACTTAGAATATTTCATAATAAAGAAGTTTCAAGAAATTAAAAGAAAAAATGTATAGCTTATCAAAGAGTGTGTTTTAAAAATCTAAAAAGAGGAGACTTCTAGTGCCAGCCAGGATTGGGTGAGCCCACTACAGTCTAGCTCTCTGACTGATTACAATGGAAAACTCAACAAAATAGAAAAAACAACTACCTGAGGACTCGGAAAAGTAAACCATAGTAGGTAGAGGGAGGAGGGGAGTCAAAGAAGTGACCCACACAGGGTGTGAGTTTCCAAGGTTTTTTTCCCCCCTCTTTTATCTCCTGGCTTTGACTCAGGGCAGCCCTGCTTATAGAACTGGAAGACAGCAAAAACTTGGAGAGAAACCCTGTCTTTTTGGCCAGAGGATCAGGAAAAGGGGCCCTTGCAAGTCAGAGAGCATGGGGGAAAAAAGCTCGGATCTTTTTCTTTTTCTCTTTTTCTCTCTCCCAGCCATGCTCTGAGGGCAGCCCTGCTGCACAGCTGCATTGTGGCAGCTCCAAAGCAGCCAAAATTCCAAGAGAAACTTCATTTTTCAGGCAAGAGGAATTGAGAAAAGGGGCCTCTGTAGTCTGAAAAGTATGGGGGCAATCGCCCTTATTTTTTGTCTTTCTTTTTTTCTGCCACTCTGCCCCAAAGGCAGCCCTAGTTGTGTGGTACAAGGGCCAGGAAAAGGGACTCTTGGAAATCAGGCAGAGTGGGGGACTAGAGAAAAGAGAAAAGAAATCCCTAATTCTGGATATGAACCGCCACACATCTGGGGCTCACCCCTGGGCCGTGCATGTGTGGGCGGACCCAAAGGAGCATAGCAAAGGCTCTGAAACTGAACTGAGCCTGGAACGACTGCCCACAGTAAGACAGAACTGGCATTATGAACTTAACCAGGCTAACTGCTTGCTAAAACAAACAAACAAACATTCTACAGAAGATTTTAATACCACCTAGAATCTCACAACATAATATTTAAAAATCTAGGATACAATCCAAAATTAGTCAGTACACAAAGAACCAGAAAAATGTGACCAATTCTCACAAGAAAAGATAATGAATAGATGCCAATTCTGTGACGACCCAGATGTTGGAATTCGTAAACAAAGACTTCAAAGCAGTTAATTATAACTATGCTCCATAAGGTAAACAAAATACCCTTGAAATAAATGAGAAGATAGAAGTTCTCAGAAGAGAAATAAAAAATATAAAAGAGACAAAGGGATTGAAAAGAATTGAACAGATATTCAGGGACCTGTGAGACATCATCAAAATGTTTAATATTTGTGTTACCCCAGGAAAGGAGAAAGAGATTGATGTAGAAAAAAATATTTAAAGAAATAATGTCCAAAACTTTCCAAATTTGGTGAAAGACATAAATTTATAGACTCAAGATTAGAGAACTCCAAACAGGATAAACTAAAAGAAAACTATGTCCAGACATATAATCAAAATGCTGAAAATCAAAGAGAAAGAAAATCTTGAGATGGGGCCAGCCCCGTGGCTTAGCAGTTAAGTGCGCGCGCTCCGCTACTGGTGGCCCGGGTTCGGATCTTAGGCGCGCACCGACCTTAGGCGCGCACCGACGCACCGCTTGTCCAGCCATGCTGAGGCAGCGTCCCACATACAGCAACTAGCAGGATATGCAGCTATGACATACAACTATCTACTGGGGCTTTGGGGAGAAAAAAGAAAAAAAAAAAAAAAAAGGAGGAGGATTGACAACAGATGTTAGCTCAGGGCCGGTCTTCTTCAGCAAAAAGAAGAAGATTGGCATGGATGTTAGCTCAGGGCTGATTTTCCTCACATACACACAAAAAAAATCTTGAAAGCAGTCACAGAAAAACAACATATTACATATAGGTGAACAATGATTCAAACGATTGCAGATTTCTCATTTGAAACCATGAAGATCAGAAGATAGTGGCCAACATCTTTAAAGTACTGAAAAATCTAAAAAGAAACAGGTGTGCTTAAAACGACATGATTCTTTCAGAACTTCTAGATTCATTAAAGTCATAAAATAATTTAAATTAGCCTGAAATCTGCCAAGTCATTGTATTTTAAATCTGGAATGCCACACACCTGGATCTGGCAGCACCTACACAGTTTGGATGGTTGTCAGGAATAACGCCCTTTCCCATGGGGGTGGGCAAAAAAGGCAATTTACATTGCTCTACCAACTTCCTGATACCCTCCTCTGCGTGGGCATAAGCAGCACCTACAAGAAATGCAAATATATTGGACAAGTCAGTTAAGCTCCAGGCACTGTGACCCTTAAAATAGTTGATGAGAAATTGCTTTTAGAATTTCTCAACTATTCTCCTGCTTATACAGGGCTTAAACCCAAAACAAACTGTGACTATGGTTTTTATCTTTGGTATTTTAAAATGTTTAAGGAAGCAATAGTTCTAATCACCCTACCCCCCATAATATTCCCAATTATTCTGAAGGATGTCTACCCCAAAACAAAGTTGCATCTTGCATCTCTTGCTGCTCTCATGTGCTTGTTCTATGTTACAGTTCTACTGAATTACTACTCACAATTCTCTGAACACACTATCTTTACTGGTAGGCCCAGGTGGGCAAGGAAGGACTTTGCCCTGACAGAGAAAGGCTCTCCTTAACCTCACATGTTGATCCCCACCACCAGCTAATCTGGACTGTACAGTTTCCTAGTCTAGGCAAGGAAATTCTAACAAGGGGCATAAGTTTCTAAAGCTCTGTAGATCTCTTCATAGGCTCTACAATTTTGTGATTCCAACAGGGCTCACATATCATTTGTTTTTATGGTTGTGTGCCTGCAAAATAACCATATGCCCTATGCCCTCAATGACAATGAAAACAACTCACTGTTTGAATATAGGGATGATTTAATTTCTAATGTCATCAAGGTCACTATATTTCTTTTTAGTTATTTAGTTTTATATTCTTTCAAGGCTAGTAAAATATCACACCATATTTGGAACTTATAATTCTCTATTGAATCCCAGTATATAGGATAGTGTACATCCAAATTCAACAAAATGATCCCCCCAATAAAACTACTTTTAGGATCTTTTCTCATACACGTAGGATGAAAAATAGTTCCTTTTTTTCATCCAGAAAGTTTCCTTGTATTCTCCTTCTTGCCTCAATATCTTTTGTCCAGTTGGTTCTCTCTTCCTGGATTGCCCTTGTTCTCTTCATCCACTTGGTGACCTATCATCCATTTTTTCAAAGTGTAGCCACAATGTCATCTCTTCTGGAGTCTTTCCACACCATCTACAGGAGCAAATTGTTGCTGCTTCCCTTGAGAATCCACCCCACCTCTCTACACACACCACTTAAGAGTATACCACACTTATTTGTTACCAGCTCTATCTTCCTATAGGTAGGGACCATTATTTCTCTGTATACCTCACAAATATTTTCTATAATCCCTGCCTTATCATAAACACTCATCAAATGCTGGTTAAAGGAAGAATGAAAATCAGCATCCACTGAGCTCTTTCCACTTCTTTTGTTATTTGATTATAACAATACTGTTGAGGTAGTTAATATCTCTATTTTACAAGTGAGGTAACTAAGACTAAAAGCAGTTGGTCGCCAAGATGGCAAAGCTAATACATCATATAGCTGCATTCGACTCAGCTCTGACATGCTTGTTTTCTGTTGTCCACCATTTTCATTAAAACTATTTTAGTTTCTATGTAGTTAGTTCCTAAGTAGTTGATAACTGACTAGCATGGTCATAGGTGATTCACATCCCCTCAGTTCTAGAACATATAATGAATACTATAATAAATTGCTGAATTTGCTACAATACTTTGCGAGAAAGCAATTTGACAATATGTACGAAAAGCCTTAAAATACGAGTACCTTTTAACTCAGTTTTCTTTCCAGGAATCTATCTTATAGCCTTAATATGGAAAAAGCCTTAAGCACAAACATGTTTGTCACAGGTATTCCAAACAAACAAACAAAAACTGGCAAAGATTTAAATATTTGCCAGCAAAGTGTTAGTATATACATGAATAGACATTAAAATTTATACTTAGGAAAAAAATTTAAGACCATGAAAATATGTTGTTATAATGTTAAATGAATTAAGTAGAATATAAAACTGTCTATATAGTATGACCACAGTATACAAAATATACATGCAAAAGGGAATAGAAAAGCACTACATGTTAAAAATGGTTATCTTTGGATGAAAGGTTTTCTTTTTTCTAATCTTCTGGATTTTCCAAAATTTTTTATAATGATCACATATTACTTTTATAATGGAAAAAATACATACATTTTACACATAAGACCAAAGAAATGTAATTGGTGATATTCCCTTAAAAGGGCAAGATCTCTGGGCATTCTAGAATAATTCTATGATTTCAAAACTAATAAATAATGCTAAGTGGATGAAGAGAACTCTCATTCCAATTTCAAACATTAGAGCAGATGTTAATAAATAATGAAGACAATTTCTAAACAGATCAGCATTTTTTCAAAAGCCTTGCAAGATTTAGAGTTCCATTCAATGCTACCTTTCCCGATGATGAGAAGGGGCTGTTTAGCATTCCTAATCACAGATGCTGCCATACACACAGCAGAGGTTTCTGCCATACTAACAGGAGGTGGCATGCAGCACTCTATGTACCTGGAGATAAAGAATTCTGTTAATTCAAAGAGGCCACATGTTCAATTTTTTATTGTGAAAATATCAAGTATATAAAAAGGTAGAAAAAAAATGATACAATGAACTCCATATATCCACCATGTATGTTCAACAACTTATATCATTTTACCACATTTGCTTCACACACACACACAAACATGCATATGAATTTTTTTCCTGAACCATTTTAAAGTATATTACAGACGTTAAGACTTAAAAACTTCCCCATGCACCATTAAACGATAAAGACTTTCTCCTATATAACTATCATATCCTTATCACATCGAGTCAATGAACAGTTATTCCCTAATATCATCTAATAGCAAAATGAGTAATTCACTGACAGCAAATTTGAGTCACTGGCTTTGCATTGTAGTAGTGGTTGTTGCAGTAATAGCAAAAAACATACTAAAAGCTAATATTTAACATCTACTATGTGCCATTTATTCTCATTTAATTTTCAAAACAATGAGATCAAGTATCACCATTATCTCCATTTCACCACTGGGGAAAAAAAAACTTAGAAAGTAAGTAACTTGCCAGGGTCCCCAAATGGCATGTGGCAAAAACAGATTGAGCTAGGTCATTCTGTCTCAAAAGGCCATGCTTTCAACTACCTAACTATACTTCTACTAACTGGGTAAGTCAATATTTTAGTACCACAATATGCATTAGTAAAAGAAATATTAAAACTGTCATAGTTAAGTATTTCTGGACACCAAGACCTCAGTGTTTTATTTCATTTACTCTAATTAATAAACATTATACTGTACAAAACTTGAGGATACAATACAAAAAAAGGACATTCAAATCTTTACAAAAATTTTTAAAAAGGCTTACAGAGTTAACTTACCTGAGGCTCATCTCTCCCTCCCCTTCACAATAATATTATGTTGATTATCACGTATAGGTATGATGAGGAATAGATGTCCTTTTTATGTGACTCTCCCCAATAGAAACTGCTCCTTGGTATACTGAGTGTACAGAAACGCCTCCTGTCTCTCTGTAGTCACTAGAGGACCACTTGGTCCATGAGAGCAGGAATGTACCAAATGGTACCCAGGGTGATGCATTAACCCAAGTACCCATCCTTACCAGGGGTGACTTAGATACCAGTGAAAAATGTTTCTTGTACCTATTGTTCACTGAGTGTTTCTTAAGGAATAAGGGAACTTGGCAAATCATAGTAACATCTGGTGTTGCAATATTTTTAAATCAGAGACAGACTAAAATTTTTTATGCTGAGTTCCAATAATTTTTTAACAGCTATCTCATCTTTTGATTTACACCATGAAGACTAAATAACCACACTATATTAATGAGGATGTATTATTTAAGGTTACTGAAAGAATAATTTCAATGAGGAGCTCAGGAGCTCTAAGTATTTGAGTTAGTAATTAAACTCCAAAATAATTACTAAATTATACCATTTTAATTAAGAGAATTAAGCTCTTTGGCTAGGATTCAGTTTAATTACTAAATCATCAAAAGACAAATGAAGATTAACTTATAAGCTGCTAGGTAAATTCTTTTTAAAAAGTAAGCATTATAACACAATTAAGAAAGAACTCCACTATAACTATTACTCACTTTACAGAATTCACCTTCACCTGGAGGTTCACAAAATCTGCAGGTATGTCAACATAGCAAGCACCTGGACGACCATAAATACTGCTTCTCACCGCCTAAGTTTATTACCAATAGAAGAAAATATTTTAAAAATCTCAATCCTTATTATCATATTCCACTAAAAAAAACTTAAAATTATGAAATGAACACTATTTCAATTTTTCTGGACATCCTTAGTTGGAGAAATAAATGATTTTAATTAAAATTAAAAGGCTCACTATTAATTCTATATATTTTAAAAGATATTTTTGTTTAAAAGGAGAGAGATAGGAAAGAAAATACTCACTTAGGGCTTTAAAATTCATATTCTATTACTCTTTAGTTTTAGAAATTATTCACTAGGCTCTGCCTGCCAAGTCTTCGTAACATGTACTTTCACCGCTTCCTAATCCTAATGATTGAGCAAAGTTCAGAAACTGTGACTTTGTGTCAAATGGTTTCTGTAACACATGCTTTTGAAACAGCTCAAATGTAATTTACATATAAATGCTGGTTAACTAAAATTAATTTATAATATGCTGTTTAATCAACTAAGAGATGGTCTTATATGCATTAGTACTAATTTTCAAAAATAATCTTTTACAAAAGCATAAGAGAAAGAGCACCTAGGGTTTCATTATACCTTTTGTTTTACTTTTCTATAATTAAAAAAAAAAGTTTTTTAACTAAAGCACAGGAGAAACCTTTTCCAAAAAATAACTTTTCTCTTTCTATAATTAAATATAATTGCAACAAACATTAAAATGTAACTAGCTCTTTAACAATATCATTTTTAACTGCCTGAATATATTCCTTTTTTTGTGTGTGAGGAAGATCAGCCCTGAGCTAACATCCATGCCAATCCTCCTCTTTTTGCTGAGGAAGACTGGCCCTGAGCTAACATCCGTGCCTCATCTTCCTCCACTTTATGTGGGACGCCGCCACAGCATGGCCTGACAAGCGGCGCGTCAGTGCGCGCCCAGATCCGAACCCGGGCCACCAGCAGCGGAGCGTGTGCACTTAACCACTACACCACAGGGCCGGCCCTGAATATGTTGCTCATTCTATTGACAACAAAAATAATACTGGTAGGAGCAACTGAGAAAAACCACTTGACTTTGAGGGCTTGTAATTAAATACTGTACCTTTTCGATAATAGAGGGAATAGCTTCTATGCTGCTTGGCCGGGCAGAGAACTTGCTATATAATCTACAAGCTTCAACCTATATGCATAAAGAAAACCACTTCAGCTCACAGATCATATTACTCTTCTGAAGAAAGACAAAATGTGAAGTCATTACTTTCTACTATGTTTAGAGGAAAGACGGAGAAAATGCATTACCTGGACTGTTTCTTAAAAGCCTATGCAAAGCACAGTCAAATTTATGCCTCAATATGATTCGGGAAGCAAATAAAAATAAGATACCATTTTCATTTCTCAGATTGGCAAGAATGAAAAAGTTAGATAACATTCAGCATCTATCACAACACAGGAAAACAGGCACTCTCATAAACTGCTAGTGAGAGTATAAACGGAAAGGAAGTTGGCAATGTCTGCTAAAAATTAAAATGAGGATATCCTGGGACCCAGAAATTCCACAGCCAGGAATACACACCTTCCTCTCTTACATCTCATTACAATAATAATCTGTTCTTACATTTCTCGCAGTTTTCCTGTTACATATTTTGTTGCTGTGCTGTTTGGGTTACATAAATTCAGTAGTGGTAATTTTTCACTGTTTAATGTACTTTGAAGCATTATATAGAAACTACTTCTCTTGATATTTTTGGTATGGAATGTATGGAACAATTGGTGGTGTTAGTCCCACAGGAATGATAGAAATCTATGGAACAGTCGGTAGTCTCAATCCCACAAGCATGACAGAATTAAGATTACCCGCTAACTTTCAATCTGTTCTGGTCATGTTGTTTAGTTTTAAGTATTCCCACAAGAAACAGATATTTGGATTTTCAATAAAATCTGTGATCTTTCTCCTCAAATTTTTAATTTCATCTAATAAACTACTATTTCCCTTTTCAGGAAAAAATATTTGTCATGAACGTTATCCTCTGCTTTCTTTTTTCATCTATCAAGTTTTTGCAGTAACTTTAATTTTCCTTTTATTTATTTATTTCTTTTTTTTTTTGGTGAGGAAGATCAGCCCTGAGCTAACATCTGCCAATCCTCCTCTTTTTTGCTGAGGAAGACTGGCCCTGGGCTAACATCCATGCCCATCTTCCTCCACTTTACATGGGACGCCGCCACAGCATGGCTTGATAAGCAGTGCATCTGTGTGCGCCCGGGATCCGAACCGGCGAACCCCAGGCCGCGGCAGCGCAGCGCGCGCACTTAACTGCTTGCGCCACCTGGGCCGGTCCCCCTAATTTTCCTTTTAAATAACATCTTCTCTACTTATTTTTCAAATATATCAGCATCTTGTAAATAACTGTTGTTATTCTCTACCATTAACTAAGTAAAACTTCAATTCCCTTTTAAGAATATAAAAATATAACTTTTTCATTAACCTATACCAAGATCTAGTATTTTATATTAATTCCATGTTTATACTTTGAAGTTCTCATAATGATTTCTGATTTAACAATAGACTTTCCCTAATGGTTTTAACTTTGCTCATAACTTTGTGCTGTAAATGCTCAAATAATTCATATTTAAGTGTTAATCATTCACTCTCACCTATGTGCTTTCTATAACTATTCTTAAAACCGTAGCATTTTGTTGATAAATTCTTTCAAGTTTTTAAAAATTTTTAAATACTTTCCCTCAGCCTTCAAAAATAAAAATGAACTTGTCCAGAGTCTACTGATAGTCATTTGAGTAGGATTTTTACTCTCAACTTTTTACTTTTCCACAGTCTGAGAGGCATAGTCCCAAATCATTTTTATTCCCGCATTTTCTTGACTCTTTGAAGAACATACTTTCTGAGTTTAAAAGCCTGTCAAAAAGCTGTATTTCTTGGAAGATTGCTCCTAACCAAAGCCTACACTTTCTTAATATCCACACTGAGGTTGTCCTGTAGTTAAGAAAAATCACCTTTAAATTACCTCAGCCACCTCTATTTTATTTTGTTTATTTTGCAGCCAGAAGTTTTAATTTCTTCTCCATAAATTTTAATGGTGTGTGACTATGCTACTAAACTCTGGAGGAAAAATCTTAGTGTTGGGTACCTGAGGAAACTCCTGGAAGGCTCCCATTGTCTCCTGACTGCTTTCAGAGGAACCACCAATCACAATCAAGGGCCTGAAACATTCATTTTTTAAAGGAGAATTACAAATGAGATCAACATATAAAATACTCGGCAGAGTGCCCAACGAATAATAAACTCTCAATGAATGTTAAAAGAGAGAGAGAATGAATTACATTTTCCCTTAAAAACTGTAGATTTATAAAGATTTAGGAAACAACCTGATGTGGAGAACCCTTCCTCAATTTCAGAAAAATCTAAAATTTATAGTAAATGTTTTTCCTCCATGCTCCTCTCTTTCCCTCCCCTTTTAGATGCTGATGCTAAACCTCCAGGTGTGGTGATGTAAAATGAATTTTTAGGCCCTTACTATTATTCTTGGGATTAAGAGGAGGAGAAAATTTTTTCACACTTTCCGAAGTGAGTCTATTTTGGAAGTGGCAGAATGAGAGAAATTCCTCAGCAATAAAATTCTTATCCTTCAAGGAGAAAAAAAGAAAGCTAAAGTTACTCAGAAAATATCAGACTCTAAAGTAGATAAGAAAGAGAAAGCCTAGGAAGGAAGAAAGAAGAAAGTTTAAGAAACACATGTCAAGAAAGAAAACAATGTCCTTTCACTAGGAAGATTAAATATCTTATGAATTGATTAAAACATAACCAACAAACTCAATAAATATAAGAATTTCAATTTTCTTGCTAACTATGCAAAACAAAGTGAAGAATTAAATACATTCTTGCATACTGAGCTGGGATCTTTAAAAAATAATTCTTCACATTCACATACATATATAGATACAGGTAATATATACATATATATTCCAAGATGTTAACAGTGTTTATCTCTAGGTAAAGAAATTACTAATGTTTTTTTTATTTTCTTCCTAATACTCTTTCTAATTTAACTTTTTACTAAGCCATTCCCTCAAAGCACTTGATTCCACGTCTTCCCACACCAGATCAGTGTTGCTCCACTAAGTAAAATCATGTACTGAAATTTTTAAGAAAACGTTTTCAATAATAACAATCTACTTACCAACAGTTCATGTTTGCATTTGCCATACCACCTAAGGCATGGATGAGACCTGGGCCAGAAACAACAAGGCATGCTCCCGGCCTAAAAGCAAAACAGAATTTTTTTTTAAATTTCACTAACCTCTTCATATCTTGTTCCTATTATATTTGGGCTAAATCAAGTTGACAGCATACAGAAGCAAATTTTTGACTGCTGAGTACATTTTTGTGTGGGGAATAAAATGTTGTTTAAAAATTTCTTAACAAATAAATATAACACCAATTGATCTTTAACAGAAAGTAATTCTGAAATATAGCATTCTGCCCCAATTTTTTTTTCTTTTTTTTTTTAGCTTATAAACTATAGAAATTTATTTCTCACAGTTCTGGAAGCTAGAAGTCTGAGATTAGGATGCCAGCATGGTCAGGTGAGGGTTCTGCCCCAATTTTTTTTAATCAAACTTTAATGCTTTACCCTAGATGACTTTCTAAGCTTAAAGCACTCAAGGAAAAGGTATCTCCATATAATTTGGTTTGCCATTTTGCATTTATAAAGTTATTTATTTATTTTCTTTTTTGAGGAAAATTGGTCCTGCGCTAACATCTTTTGCCAATCTTCCTCTTTTTCTTTTTTATCCCCAAAGCCCCAGTACATAATTGTGTATCATAGTTGTAGAGTTTAGCTCTTCAATGTGGGATGCCATCTCAGCATGGCTTGATGGGCAGTGAATAGGTCCACGCCAAGGATCCGAACCGGCAAACCCCAGGCCGCTGAAGCAGAACACGCAAACTTAACATTACGACACTGGGCTGGCCCCTATAAAGTAATTTCTTAAGAACCTCTGTTTAAGACAGTCTTTAAAAGAAATTGACTTTCTTTTAAAGTCAGTTTACCTGCCTGTCAGATATCCAACCGCGGAGGCAGCATAACAAGCCTACAAAGAAAAAACACCGGGACTTAAGCATATTGGGATCAGTGTATGATAATTTACTACTAAGTAAGAGACTAGAAGTTAATGGTAAAGGAGGAATCGAAATGCTTTCCATTTTAACAAGTAATGTTCTACCTGTAAATTTCAAATAACAGTTTAATATCTAATCTGGTTTTTAGTTTTTCAAGGAATTTGTCCATATTATCTAGTTTATTCATAATACTCTCTTACAGTTGCTTAAATATCTAGAGGATCAATAGGAATGTTCTCTTTTTTATTGCTAATATTGGCAACTTGTGTTTTTTTTCTTTTATTCTTCATTGGCATTGCTAGGGATTTATCAAATTTTTCAAAGAACCAATTTTTGGCTTTGTTGATTTTTCTCTACTGTTCATTTGTTTTCTATTTCACTGATTTCTGCTCTTGTATTTATTATTTTACTCCTGTCATTTTGGGTCCAATTTGGTTTTCTTTTTCTAGCTTCTTAAAATGTAAGCTTAGGGTATTGGTTTTTGATCTTCTTGACTAATAGACTCATTTCAAACTATTTCCTCTAAGAACTGCTTTAGCTATAGCTTACAAGTTTGACATCTCACCTTTCCATTATCATTCAATTCAAAATATTTTCCATTTTCCATTGTGATTTCTTCTTCAACCCATTGATTAATTAGGGTCCACAGTGATGTCTCCTTTTTCAGTCCTGATATTAGTAATTTATATTTTTTCTCTTCTATTATTGATCAGTCTACCCTGAAGTTTACTGATTTTACTAATCTTTTCAAATATTTACCAAGTATCAAATGTGTTATTTAATTTTCAAATGTTTTGGGATTTTCTAGTTATCTGTTATTGAATTTTAGTTTATTTCCACACGGTCAGGCTACATATACTGTATGTTTTCAATCCTTGGAGATCTGTTGAGATTTCCTTTACGGCCTGCATATAGTTAGTTTTTACTTTGAAACTGCACTTCAGCTCATAACAGCAAGAGAAGGGAGGTGCTAAATTAAATATAAGATAACCTGGAAAAATGCTAAATGCCCTCTCAAACAAATCCTTCTTCTTAGTCCGGGACATCATTTTTTCCAGTATTATTTCTTCTCATTTTTTTAGAAATAATAATAATGCATTTTCTAACCTTCATTCAACTTTATGTGTAGTATACTGAACTTAAATAAATCTATGTGAGGAATATAAGTGTAAAAAATTAAAAATAAGTTTTTACGAATCATACTCTTAACCAGCACCACTACCATATGCCCAACTAAGAAGCTGCACAAAGGCTCTACTTTTTCTGTGTTGCTATTCTCTATTGCCCCTTGTCTCTTTTCCCTTCCGCACATAAGGCCAAATTCACATAGGACAATAATTAAGACAATTCCTAAGAAAGGCAATGTATAAAATAAAATATCTGCTGCAAAAAGAACACTTATTTGGACGCAGGAACATTGCTCACTTACTAAAAGCAGGGTGAGAAATGTTGCTGCAGAATGCAAAATACAAAACTACATATAACAAAAATTATATTTCTCTGGTAACAGACACCCAAAGTGGAAAAGGAACTGGTTTTATGATCATAAAAAATCTATTTCTCTACCAAATTACTTACAGGCAGAACAGTGTTCATAGTACTTAAGAGAGCAGACCCGACTCAAACTGTTTTTGTTGTTTTTTTTTGTGAGGAAGATCAGCCCTGAGCTAACATCCATGCCAATCCTCCTCTTTTTGCTGAGGAAGACTGGCCCTGGGCTAACCTCTGCGCCCATCTTCCTCTACTTTATTGGGACGCCACCAGAGCACGGCCTGACAAGCAGTGCATCGGTGCGCGCCTGGGGTCCGAACCCAGGCCACCAGCAGTGGAGCACGTGCACTTAACCGCTACGCCATGGGACTGGGCCCCAACTCAAATTGTTTTGATTCAAATCCTGGCTCTCCTAATTTCTACTGTGTAATTTTGGCAAGTTACTCTGCACCTTAGCTTCCTCATCTATAAAATGAGCATAATTCACAGCATTGCTGTGAGGAAGAAATCAGTTAATACACGTAAAACACTCAGAATAGTGCCTGCACACAGTAAGCTCTCCATAACAGTGAAATTCCTCACAGTATGCTTACTTCCTGGAATACTGGTCAATATATGTCTTGATTACTCTAAGGATCTGGTGAAAGACAGCCAAATCACAACCAAGTACACCTTTCTCTTTAGTACAAACTTGCCCTTGGACGCCAAGTCCTCTTCTGCCTCTTGAACGGCTTCTCTGTTCTCACATTCTCTTTCAATCACCTGGTCATTACCCTTAGTTAAGGCACTAGCTCAGGCTTCCTTCGATTACTCCAAAGAGTCAGGCTGACTGAGGGGCATAGGCACTGGGAGTGTCCTACAGGCATCTCAAACTCATTATGTCCAAATCTGAATTCATTGCCTTTTCCCTCCAAATTGACTCCTCCTTCTGTATTCCCTCTGTATTCCCAGTCTAAGTCAGTGGCACCATGATCCACTTAGTCAGTCAAGCAAGTCTAAACCGAGGAATCATCTCCAGAAGAGCCTATCCTCTCCTTCCTAGTTGGTTAGTCCCTACTCATCCTTCAAGACACCTCCAGCAAACCTTCTCTGAGGTCTTAGGCTGAGCCTAGGTACCCTTTTCTGGGCTTCCATAGCACCCTGGATATATCTAACACAGCACTTATCACATTATAATAAAATTGTCTGTTTGTGTCTGTCTCCACAGCAGGTTATAAGCCCCTCAAAGACAGGAACTGTCTATCATTCATCTCCATATCCGTGCCGAACAAAGCGCCTGGGACTGAAGGAGGCCCTCAGCTAAGCTTATAGGGACTGAAATAAAACTTCAAGCTGCCCTTGTGATCCATACTTTATATGACTATGAAAATCATCTTTCTAAAGTACAAATCTAATTACATCTCCCACCTATTTAAAAAAACCTTTACAGTTTCACCCAATGTTTATTGAGAAACATCCACACTCTTTTTCCAGCCATAGACTCTCTACCACCTCAGCTTGGCATACCTATCCAGTCTCACAGCCCACCACGCCTTTAAGCTATCTTGATGAAATAGCATGAACAAACATTGCCTCTACAGGTAATCTTCTCTGCCCCACACAAAGAGAACCAGTCACTCTTTATATACACTGTTCCTTATACATGTATCTATTCTGAGTTATTATACTAGATAAATTTTTTTCTGTGTCTTGCCCTCACCTTCCCAGACTGTGACCAGCTTGAAAGTCAAGACTAAACCTCATTTCTTCATTATATCTCCCACAGGTTATGTAACACACAAATGAACCACAATTCCTGCTCTCCAGGAGCTCACAGGGGGTGGCAGGGAAGGGCACCTCTGAAGGAGGTCAAGGTAGCTGTCTGCGCAAGAGCTGGCAAGAACTTCAATTAGAGCACAACAGTGGGAGTGGCAAGCAGGAACAGTTAGTTAGCTTTAGATGGACTGATAGCATACGGCATTGCAGAAGTGGGTTCTCGATCTGTTAAGCTAGCACTGCTGAGAGAAGGACGAGGCAGGGCTGACAGAGGCAAAACTGAGACTGGATTGACAATATGTTCTATCTTCCCTTCTCGTGCTCCCCAGTAAGATCTAAGAAAGGCGGCAGTGTGATATGGAAGAATGAGGACTGGAGTAGGATTTGGGACACCTGAGTTCCAGCCATGGCTTTACCATTTGTGTTATCCATCACTTTGCAGGGCCGCCTACTATATAACAGGAGACTTGGCCTTCACCCATTCACCTCACAGGTACTCCCTGAGCACCTATCATCTGCAGGCACCACTTCGGCTGGGGATACAGATGTGTCAAGAATAAATAATATCCCTGCCTCCTGGAGCTCACAGTCTAATAGGACAGTCAGACAAGACAAACAATACACAGAAACAGACACATAACAGATATGAGACTGAAGGACAGGGGGCCCAGATTCAGACCAGGAAATGTCCCTTCCAATTCTGACACTCTAGACTTGGCAGAGCACAATATCGTATAGAATTAACAGCAGGGACTCCAGACCCAGACTACCTAGGTTCAAATCCTGCCTCTGCCAATACCAGCTGTCCCTGGGTTCGAATCCTGCCTCTGCCAATACCAGCTGTCACCTTGGGCACATTAGTTAACCTCTCTGTGCCTCACTTTTCTCCCCTGTCAACTAGGATTAACACTAGTTCTTGCCTCATAAGATTGTTGTGATTGGTATGTGTAAAGTATTGGAATAGCGGTAAGCGCTGAGTGTCTACAAAGAATATTTGCCATCATTATTAATCATTCCCAATCACGCATTCGGCTCCCAGCGTCCATACTTACCGCTTGCTCATTCCTCATCCCAACGTATTTGATGCCCACCTCCTGGGCGGCAACGGCGATTTCCATCACTGGGATGCCGACGATGCCAAACATGTACTTCACACCCTGGGGACCAACAAGGGCGAAATAAACGCCCGCCACTCCGTTCCCTCCCGAGGCGCTGAAAGGAAAACCTGCAAACCTCCCTCCCTCCCACTCCCACCGCGCTCCCCGTCTCCAAGACAACATCTCGGCCCGCGCCGGCTTCCGTAGGAGCCTTTCAATCCTGTCGTGACTGTCGTACTTGCGTTTTCAGGGCCTGGGCGATGACTTTAGCACCAGACACCTGCATCTCGTCTCTGTCCTTGCGCTGTGCCAAGTTACTTTCCGACATCTTCTACCTAAAAGTGCACGGCCCTCTCGCGGTGGACAGCAAGCTGACACGGAGTCACCCAGCGAAAGAAACCCGGAAGACAGGTGGGCCGCGGTTGGGGGGACCCCTCCTCTGACTGACAGAAGGAGAGCGACCAACCGAATTAAACAGCGAGAAGGAAGAGGCGGGGCTACAACCAGTCCGCTGTCAGGGCAGAATGTAAACACACTCCTTCTCCAATGAGAGCCGGCTTCTCCATTCAGCGGGTCAGAGTGTCAGGAGGAGGCGGGACGGGCGGGAGGCTGCGGCTTGTGCCGAGCAGGTAAGAAGCTAAACCTCGGCAGCCTCTCGCCATGTCTGCCGACCTCCCCAGCCCTTTCGGGCCGCGAAGGGCGAGTAGCGCATGCGCATACTTGAGGGGGAGGAGGGCTAGGAGCGGGGGCGGAGGGGGTGTGGCACGGGTGCACTCTCCCGGCCCCGCCTCCTTCCCGGCCGCTGCGGGGGGTGGCGGGGGCGGGTTGCGGGCTGCAGGAGCCAGGTGGGCTAGATGTCGCGGGTCGTTGGGCAAGGTCATGTTTGGCTCGTGTTGTCATTGCTTCTGCTCCCCTGGGTTCTAGGCTTTTACTTATACCCTTTTTGGTTTACGCTTTCCTAACTTAGGCTTTGTAGTCCGTGAAGCGTAGTAATACGCGTCAATTAAATCTAGAATGCACCCTTTACTCCCGTATTGTTACCGCCTGGAAAGGGGGTTCATCTGCGTGCTACAAGACAAGTCAAGAGGCAAGGTGGTAGGAGAGAAAGGGCATTTTATTACAGCTCACTAGCAGGAGGGAAGTTGGCTGACTAATGTCCAAAAAAACCATCTTAAGGGGGCACAAAATCTGATAGCAGTTAGCCTGGTGGATTATAAGGGAGGGGGGTAGGGATATCAACCCTCTGATGTTACAGACTGTGGGTTGCCATGCCAGATCTTTCAGTTTTCCTTGATGATGGCTATCAGCATAGACTCTCTTTTTGGAGGTCATCTCATTCCTAAGGAATGCAGAAGAACGGGGTTATCTTATCGCAGCTGGGAGGTATTTGCACAGGCAGGGGTGGTCAAATCTACAGTGTAGTTAGATCTCCTGGAGGGTGCATATCCTGCTGGGTTAATCAGAGGTCATTCAAAGTTACAATAGAGTTTCTTTTCTACAATATGGCTTCCCTTATGTCAACCTTGTCTTGAGCTGGTGTCAATATTACTATAGATGAGGACACTGAGTTCCCAGGCAAGGAAATAAGTACCTTGCCCAGAGCTCTTGGATCCAGACCATGCCACACACTCCCAATCTTGTATTGTAGTCACTGTTCAGCCCTTAGACCGCAAGAGATGAGTTTCTTGAACCTAGTTAATCTACTTACTTGTCAAGTAAAATTGACATTCCAGAAAGATGCAAAACGTTCTTCATGTGGCTTTGAATAGTCCTTGTGTCTGGCTGCACCCCTAGTTGGGTGAGCAGTGCAGGATAGGTTGCGGACAGACCAAAGAAAAGACCCAGAGACGGCGAACGAGACATATAGGTTTATTGGGAGTTACTTACAGGGAGGTCCAGTGGCTGCCAGCTGGACAGCACTGTGCACCTGCAACCGTGGGCGGGGAGGGGGTTGCTTATATAGGCAGGGGACACAAAGGCTATATGCTTGCCAAGAGGCTGTCCCTGGTATGACTGGCGTTCCCAGGAACAGTAGCTCAGGTGGAGGGGCTCTGTGTCCCTTTAAGACGTGATGTTCTTTCAGTGAGATAAGGTAAGATCCCGGCTGGCCAGGCCCTGGATGGTTACAAATCCTGCCCAGAAGGGAGCCAGAAGGACACATGGTTGCAATGGGCTTGTGGGCTCTTGCTGAACAAACAAGGCCCAGGCCATACACCTTGGCATAGTGTCTTCTGTCCCTGTTTGAGAAGCATGGACTCAACCCCCCTCTGTAGTATTGTTTATATCATATCTGTGTGACAATCTGTACCCACATTGCATCAGAAGCACTTGGGAAGCTTTTTAAAAATACAGTTGCTTGAACCCTATCCCATATCTTCTGAATCAGCTTCTCAGGAGAAGTTAGGTACCTGTGTTTTTCTAAAGCTGCTACCTAATTTTGATTTGCAGCCCAACATGAGAACCACTGGCTCTGTACTCATACTAGAGGCATGAATTAATAGCAATTAAATGTGTGATTGTCTGTTACCAAAGTAATACTCTTGATCAGTTTGGATTTACAGGTTCAGGGCTGGGTTAACATTGGCAGCACAGACTGTACAGATGGTAGTCAGTTCCTGGGCCTTGTGCCTACTTCTGTGTAAAAAGGATCACTGACAGAATCACTCAGTAATAAAGTCTAGTGAGAATTGAACTATGAATTGGAACAAACCCACTGAATTCAGATTAACTGGTTTTGCAAATGGATAAATTCTCAACTGACTGGATTCTGCCCTTTAGCAAAGGGAAAAGTCAGACTGTTTAAACTTGCTTACACCTTTCTGTTCAGGGTACAATGTTCCACTGTTCACTTAGGTCTGATGATTCAGCAGAAATGGTGAGAGTCCTCACCCCCAGGATTAGCAGGCACTGGGAGCAACTCCTTTCAATCCAATTGTAATTACAGGGTTCTGGGATTCTTTTGTAACTTATCCAGGGCCCTTGGTGCAGGCTTTGTAAGCATTAACCACATTCTTTATTACTTTCATTGGTGGTAGGTGTGGAATTTTATTTGTTGGATATATTATTGGAATTTTGTTTATTTATTTATTGGTGGAAGGAGGTCAAAAGAGGAATAACTCTAATTATTATTTTTTTTTTTTGGTGAGGAAGATTAGCCCTGAGGTAACATCCGTTGCCGATCCTCCTCTTTTTGCTGAGGAAGATTGGCCCTGGGCTAACATCTGTGCCCGTCTTCCTGTTTTATATGGGGTGCCGCCACAGCATGGCTTGACGAGCGGTGCATTGGTCCGTGCCTGGGATCTGAACCTACAAATCCCAGGCTGCCGAAGTGGAGTACACAAACTTAACCACTACACCACTGGGCCGGCCCAAATCTAATTTTTTTTAAAGAAAAGGCTAAGGTAGTGATGACATGCTCTCCAAAGTGCAGAGCCAGTCATCAAAGAGTCTTTATACTGATCACTCTATTTGTGGGTTCTGGACCTGAGATTATGAGAGAGTTATTTGGTGGCTTTCTTCCATCAGGGTGAAAAGAATGTCCAGGCAACCAGGTAATTTAGTAAAAGTTGCAAATATAGTGTCTAGAGAAAATATACTCTCTAGAGATTTAAAATATCCAGCTTGCACAGGTAGTAACTCCTTAGGCCCAAATAGTATGATAGTATGTTTTAATTTCAGTAAACTAACAAAGTCACTAAAAATCTTTGTGATTATTTAAAGGCATAACACTAACTGAACCTGTGAAAAATATTCTCACAAACCTATTTTATCAAAATGATAAGCATTTGATTATCAAATGAAGAAATGAATTAGGGTTTATTTGTGATGCATTATAGAATGGCTGAAAATAAAAGTAAAATGGCTGAAATAAAACAACTGAAACTGAATATTTTAAATACAAACAAAAAGCAAGCAACAATAACAAAAAAGGAAATCTATGTAGAACACTATTTTTAAAACCACCATTGAAAACTGTACAGCAGGAAATCTGCTGTAGGAAATATGTCAACATAGAGCAGGAAATAAAATAATATAATAAACTGGCTCTTTAAATAAAACAGGTTAAGTTGATTTTGTTTACTTCTCATTAAATTTATGGACCGCAGAGTACCAAAGGTCGGAGAGAGGCTTAAAGCAAAACCAGAGAAAAGCAACTTTATGACTGAACTGTCAGGGACAGTTTTAATGCCTTAGCCAGTGGACAGGAACTGGAGTTTTTCCCAGTCATCGTGCGACCTGGAGAAAGGTCGGATTCCTGCAAGCCCTTCATCTTTGCTCTGCATTTTAATGCCAGCAAGACCCAGAACCGGAGCAGGGAACACTGCGGGGCAGAAACTGAAGGAACCTGTTGTTTCCCTGTTTTAGCTTTGTCTTAGTCCATTGTGTTTGTGTGTGTGTGTGTGTGTGTGTGTGTTTTAAAGCAAAATTGGGGTAATTTGACATCAGCAATTATTAAATCACTGATAAGGATTTTTATTTTGTGTAAAATGCACCAGGAAATGGTGACAACTATATGTCATGCTATGAGGACATAAGAGATTTATCTCAAATGGCTTAGAAATCATAATCTAGTATTTCTCAATATGATGGAACTACACACTTGGGGGTGGTCCATGGGGGAGGAAGATGGCAGCTATTACCTTGGAAACATGGTACCAGGATTCAAATGCTTTTCTGTTTTCATTTGTTTCTTCTGTTTTGCCATTAGCCTTCATTACAGCCCCTTCCTTTAGCTTCTTAAATTGTACCTTATTGTTTTGTTTTGATTTTAACCTATTCTCTGTCCAAGAAACAAAGAATCAGCTGTAGGGCAGAATCTCTGAATGATTCCTAGGGTTTGATTTGAACTGGGGTGTAATCCCAGGTGAAGGACATCTTCAAGATGAAAAACTCAAGCCCTTGGACTTCTTTCTGCATCATAACTTTTGAGTTCCTCTTCAGAGCTTAGCTGTGATTTATTGTTTTATTCAATTTTTAAAATATATTTAATATTTATGACATCTGTCAGACACATGAATAGGAACAGAGATTAATACACACTCATGAACCCAGCCCCTAGCTTAAGAAACACATTACAAATACAACGAAGCCCCCTGTGTGTCCCTCCCCCGTTACGCCTCCTTCCCTATGCCATAGAGGTAACTGCTGTCTTGAATTTGTTGTTTATGATTCCCACATTATCTGTACTTTAGGCAATGGACATTTAGGTTGTTTTTAGTTTGTCGATGTTCACAGTTTTCTCTGAACATTCTTGCATGTCTCCTTGTGCACATGTGTGAGTTTTATGTATATGTGTCTAGGAGTGGGTCGTCATCAATTTTGTTATATATTGCCAAATTGGTCTCCAAGTTACTGTGCCAGTTTATACTCCCACCATCTGTATATGGGGGAGAACTCCCCTTTCTCCACATCCTCAATTGTGGAATTTAAAATTTTTTGCCAATCTGATGGA